ACAAAATGTAAACCAAAATATATAAGAATACAATTTAAATAAAGTGGTAGCATGGATGTTGCAAAAATCAGTAACATGTTAAAACTACAAAAGAATACAATTTAAATAAAGTGGTAGCATGGATGTTGCAAAAATCAGTAACATGTTAAAACTACAATGCATCAATTATGAAAGTGCTTATTAGAATAGTTAAGCTAATAAAGAATTTCTATGATAAGTTAAATGGTCTTAAACTCAGTTTCAGCATCAAAGTAAACAGTACCAAGAAAGAGAAAATTTGTGTGCCTGTTATGCAAAGTACCGATATGGTTAGGTTCAAAGCAATAAAATTTGGCTCATATATTGCCCAGATATCGTTGAGAAATAATCCTTGATATCATCAAGAAATGGTGTTAGAGGTTCATGTATTAGCTTACTTACATCTATTGGCTTACTTCCCCTTCTGAACATGTGACTTGCAAAACACTCTTCTTGATGGTAGATTTCAAACTGCATTGCACAGTACAATTCGATTATTAGACTCTTTTGATGAAACTATTCAGTTCTTGCTTTTTAAGCGTTGACATTCGATTTAGGCATTTTTGCCTACATTATGTATATGTTACCATGAAAGACCGAAATCGGAGAATGTTGACTTTCACCAGAGAATATCATCATTCACCAAATACATCGGTGAAAGACCAAATATTTCACTACATTCTTGTATATTCGGACCCTCACCGGTGTATGTCGACAATCACAGATATTCTCTGGTGAAAGTCGAAAAGAGAGGTCATAAAGTGCCATATTACTTTAAGTTGTTGCAATAAATAAGATTTGAATCACATAATTTAGTAAGTTTTTTTATTACTGTTATTTTATTTTCTCATTTAGAACGTACTTTATAATTATGTAAGTTTTTAACTTCTATTATTTTCCTTTCTCATTTTGAATGCATTGTGTATTTTAGCTTCTCATGCCCTTAAGTTCTTATTTCAAGTCTCAAGTGCGTTTATTCGCGACTGAATTATGGAGAAGAAAATATAATATTATTATACGTTCAACATCACCATTAGTACATGGTGAATGTCGACATTGACCGGTGTAAATCAGAAATAAAGAGTATTTGGAAAATATTTCAGACATACACCAAGAGACTATGTAAATGTTGACATTCACTGGTGAAAGTCGACATTCTCCAGATTTCAGTGTTTCACCGTAACATACGAGGGCTATCCAGAAAGTAGATTACGTTTTGGAATAAAAAAATAAACAAAGTATAGGAAACAAATTTTATTATATACAGATGAAAGCCACACTCAAATACTACTTTTCTACATAGTCACCATACAAATTAAGGCATTTATCGTAGCGATGTACGAGCTTGGAAATTCCTTCGTCGAAAAATTCGGCCGCCTGCGCCTTCAACCACTTCGTTACCTCTTCTTGCAGCTGTGCGTCGTCATCAAAACGCTGCATAGCCAGCCACTTCTTCATTGCTGGGAATAGGTGGAAGTCGCTCGGTGCCAGGTCGGGACTGTACGGCGGATGAGGAAACAACTCCCACTTAAAAGATTCAAGAACTTTACAAGTGACATTTGCCGTGTGGGGCCGGGCGTTGTCGTGAATCAACAAGATCTTAGAGCTCAACATTCCTCTGCGCTTGTTTTGAATTGCTCTTCTGAGTTTTTGGAGAGTTTGGCAATACCTTTGAGAGTTTATTGTAGTGCCTCTTTCCAGGAAGTCCACCAAAATTACACCTTTTCTGTCCCAAAAAACAGTCGCCATCATCTTCCTTGCCGACATTGTTTGCATGCATTTCTTGGGTTTTTGGGGAGAACTTGTGTGCCCCCACTGCATTGATTGCAATTTCGTTCACATTTCACATGTTCACATGTTTCACCCATGTTTCGTCACCAGTAACGATGCGATCGAGTAAAGAGTCACCATCCTTATGGTAAGCGTCCAAAAAGTTCAACGCTGCAGCCATTCGCTGATTTTTTGTGGTCCTCTGTCAAGATTTTTGGAATCCATCTTGCACAAAACTTGTGGTAACCAAGCTTTTCGCTGATGATTTCGTGCAACAAACTTCGCGAAATTTGTGGAAAACTCAAAGAAAGTTCCGTTATTGTGAAATTTCGATTTTCACGGACTTTAGCATCGACTTTTTTCGAGAAGTTCGGCGGTCACTATGCTGGGTCTCCCACTTCGATCTTCGTCGTGAACATTGGTTCGGCCATTTTGAAATCTTATGACCCACTGACGCACTCCTCCACCTTCAGTGATAATGTTGTCCCCATACACTTCACGAAGCTGCCGATAGATTTCTATCGGTTTACAGTTTTTTGCAGTCAGAAACCTTATTACTGAGCGCACCTCGCAGCTCGCGGGATTTTCAATTAACGCAGACATTTCAAACCGTCACAGTATCTGAACGGAGCACAGCACGAACCTCTCACTAGCACGGCTAGATGCAGACTGAGCTGCGCAACGCTCTGACCCCAAGATGGCCGCGCTAACCCCGCCCCTAGCGGACACAGACGGAAACGTAATCTACTTCGTGGATGGCCCTCGTATATATGTGTTATAATTAAGTTTAATTAAAATTATGTAAAACCTTTCAGGCCATGCATCTCATTTTTTGATTATCAATTTGATTCGAACTTGATCTAGAATTTCGTTTCAGATATAGTCCACATGCACATCAAAAAAGATTTTTGTAAAAAATTTTATTTAGATTATTTATTGTTGAAGCGATTTTTGGTGGACATCCTGCTCATAACTTTGTGCTTAACGAATAAATTAATAATCACAGAATGTCACTGCTTGCACAATAGGACAGAATTCTTTAAATAAAATACAATCCAAATCTCTTAATATAATTTACAGACTTTTCAAAACTAGCTCCATTTTTTTCAATCATCCAACATATATTAGTTACAAATTTCAATATAAAATATGACCCCGCTGTAAAACCATGACATTTTTTATACATAATAAAACTAGCTCTTCATTATACTTAAAATTATAAAAGAACAAATAAACCCATTGTAGTCATTCGGTTTACAGACAGGTATCATGCTGGTCGGAAGAATTCATTTTCATTGAATGAACAGTAATACATAATATGCAAGATTATAAAGCTTGTTGACATATCATAAAAGGATCAGTACGGTTCTTTGTTGTGGTGACAGAGCACAGATATATGACCGCAAAGGGTTAAAAGCTATTTTCCAATACCCTCTTCTGAATATATATAGTACACCACCTGCATCTAGATTCTGGCTGGATCAAATTCAGTTTCCTCTGCTAACTCTACGGATATGTCAACAACCTCCATGGACATGACATAATTACAAGTGATATACATCAAACAGGTTAAAACTACATTCCATACAAAATATGTCAGCTTACATCACAGAACTAGCAATTAAATCAAAAGGTAAACTTAGGGAAAATATAAGTAATTATTAGAAGGAGTTCAGTCAAAGGCCACGTAGAGAGGCTGTGGCTAATTTTAGACTGGGTAAAGGGCACAAATGCTTAGCCAGACATCTCAGCAGAATAGGCATATTGACTAATAGCCAATGCCCTACTTGCAAAACAGACATTATGAATAAGCAGCACTTGCTCATCCGTCCAGACCCTGACCCTTAGTTACAACATAGTGGTGACGTTCTCCTGCATTATTAGATGGCCAGGGATCTAATGCCCTGAGCACAGTTGCTTCTCCTTTAATCACTAAAGATTTTAATTGTGAAATTTTTATGTCTTAGTTTTTTGGTCTTGTAAAGAGCTGTAATTAATTGTAAAGAGCTGAATTTTAGAGAGCTGTAATTTTTAAGGGTTTTTAATATTCTGGTGAAGTAATTTTGAATTTAATGTTTTGTTTTTGGCGAGTGGCCTCATGTAAAAGGATTGATTTCTGAATAAAGCAATAAGAAACAAGAACAGATTCAATACAAAATAAATGAAATGAAATAAAAAAAGAAACTGAAAAATAACTAATAAAAATAACTAACTAATAAATTTTATATCATAGCTCACTATTGAGTTTTATAAGCAATTAGCGGACTACAATATTAAATGATTACTCTGAGCTGCCTTAGCAATAGCTGTTACTCATTTAGAACCACCCAGGAGGCACGTGTCAATTAAGGATATCACGGACATGAGTAACATTGCCTCTCAGACACAAGACAGCAAACCACTTCCTCCAGAGTCACTTAAAAAGCATATTTTTGAAAAATTAATGGATACTCTTAAATCTGAAGAGGCAGCAAAATTAATAGGCAAATCCTGGGCTAACATTCAAGACACAAGAAAAAGTTTTGTCAAAAACCCCGCTAAGAGGCTATGGCAAACTTCAGGCTGCAAACAAGTCACAATGGCATGGCACATCATCTTAATAAAATTGGCATCCATCCACCTAATATATGCCAAATTTGCAATTCGGACTTCATGAATGCAGAGCATCTTCTTATATGCCCAGAACATATATAAAGAGTCTCAAAAATGTGGTGAGATAAGTAAACTATATTGGGATACCACAGCTTTCATGAACTCTTTGTAAAGACTACATCTTTTATGTTCTTTTCCTTGTTGTTTAAATCTTTAACTTTTTACTTTTGTGTCCATGTTCATTTATTCTGGTTGTTACTTTATTAATGTTTGTTCTTTTTTCTTATTTACCATTGTTCTTGTGTGATACTTGAGCTGTTTTATATGTTTGGATAGATCTTTCCAATAAAGTCACATGTAACAACAACAACATATTAAATGATTATAGCAAATAAAACTGTAATGGGATTCAATATGAAAAATTATGAACTGATATAGACAAGTCAAAGATAAATAAAATGCACATTTTCTATTCCTCCTGTTTTAACCAACTTATCAATTAGTTAGATGTCATCAAATTACTTTCAAACCTATCAGTTAACAAACCTTCTTAATCTCCATCATTTGATATCATTAAGCAATTTAAAAAAATATTTTAAAATAAATGTTTTAAAACTCACTTGTATGCAACGGATTCCAAACACAGTCAACAATATAAAAATACAGCACTGCAAACTCTGAAAAATAATAATAAATTCATAGTCTGTTGTAATAATTTACTAGTTTCAATACATTCATGCTTAACAAAAAATTATTTTCTTAAAGGTGACATTTCATTGCCAAGTATGGAATCAACTTTATAAATATCTAGCAAATCTGAAAACAAAAATACTCATTGTATTCTCAACATAAAAACTACATTCTTTTCAATCTTTATTTATGTCTTTTTTTTTTTGCGACATAAAATGTCATTAGCAAAAAATAATGGGGAAATCATAATTCTTGCAATTTTATAAATTTAGCATCTGTGGAAGAAATGCTTGCTAGCGTTCTGAGAGTTTAGTTCCTTTTTAACAAAAGCAAGTTAAAAGTACATGAGAAATAAATAACAGCTTTCACAGCCTTAATTTTTATTCTACTGTGAGGATTCAAAACCTTGGACTAGATTATTTATGAAAAGCAAGCTAGAAACAGCTATCTTCCAAAGGAAAGGGATACTGTCTTGAATACCTTTCCAAATTAAAAAACCAACCTGCCTATTTAACTCTCCGAGCATTACGTGTTTAGTCCTGAAATTTCAGTTTCTCAAAATGTCATGAAGAAATGGAAATTTCTTGATTTTAATTAAAAAGACTCTCTCCCTTTTGATTAATTTTCTTCCAATATACATCCAATCTGAAATTGAATACATTAAAAGCTGGCAGAAATTTTCATTTGCAGTGAATACGAAAGCCTCATTTAAATACGGAATTTTACATCCATAATGCTGAGAGAGTTAAATATTACACACATAACCCTGCCAAAGTGCCAAGCTATTATGCTATGCTACATTATAAATTTTTTTGTAAGAGACCTAATTGGTTTATTATTTACTGATACCACAAAAAACTTATATTTTCTTTTTTGACATTCCAATCCAGCTTACATGAAATAAAAGGACAGGAACATACCTATTTGCTATACCAATGTATCGCTGCCCAGATGGGATAGTGGTAAATGCCCCTCTCTGATTGCTGTACTGAAAAGCCCAGGTTCAAACAACGGAGAAGGCATGGATGTTTGTAAATGTATAGTCTTTGCAACATGGGAGCACTCTAAATGTATGGCTAGCCAAAACTCCTCTGGTGTGGTTTGGTGGTGGGGAAGATGGCTGAGAAACCTCAAATCACCCTCAAGGGTGCTCTCTCCCAAAAATTAGGATGAAAGTAAAAGTCCACAATCTTGAGGCTCTGGCAACCATTCTTCCATGAAATATGGGCTTGACAACAAGCAAATCATAATGTATCATACTACAAATATTTAATATATACTAATATGTATTTCAGGTGTTGGTTATTCTTAACATACCGGAGTTTCCTTTGTTTATTTATAGATTTAGATTTTGTGAAATCACATAATTTTAACATTACTCAATTATACATTATGTCCACAAAAGTCTGTACATAGCCTTTATTTTCAAAATAATTTTTTACATAAATATACTTCCAATCACAAAAATGTTTTAAATGAAGCAAAATTTGTTTATTATTATTATTATTATTATTAAATTTATAAAAGTTTTGTATAAAATATGAAAATTCTACTTTTTGCATGCTCAGTCCCAATCCCAGTCTATACATAGGAAAATTTTGTACTCATTCTAAAATCCATATGACAAAAGCTGATCAAGATATTTAGTATTCAAGTATCATATTTACAGGCCATATGTAAACTGAAGAGTAAAATGTTCGTATGATAAAAATAAAATATCAATTTTTAAAAGAGTTTCCGATAATAAGATATAAAGTGATAAGCATTTCTATGCAGATTACTGTGAAAACTAATCAATATAGTTTTTGCTCCCCAAAAAAATTCAAAATGGAGATCTTATTCACATAATCGTACAAAATCTGTGTATTCGAAAACAATGGCAGGCTTTGATATTTTCTTGCAGCTAACTCCTAATTCCACTTGCATAAATTAAAATATTAAAAATTGCAGTTTAATGAGTTTTTGTATGATAACCAGATTATGATTCTACAGAAATAAAATTTCTTAATATATATAAATATCTTTAGACACTGAAAACTTCCACAATAATTGTGTGAAAATTCTTTTGGCATACCAAACATAATAAAATTATAAATTGAAGACATTAGTAAATCACAAAATATCATCATTGGAAAGCATTTAAGATGGGGGGGGGAAATGAACCTCGAATTACTCTAATTTATTTATTAACCAACCCCCCTTAATAAAAATTCAATATAACATAAAAATTCACAAATTTTGAAATTAAATAGCTTCCTTTTCTGTCATATGGGAGTAAAATTTTTTATACTTCATTTTTTACACATAGCACAAAATTTTCCTAAATATAAGTGGAGATGGTAGAATTAAAAAAATAAGGTTTCCTAATTTTTAAAACATTGATTCCTTTAAATTAAAAAATACCAAAAAAATGATTATTTACATGATTTAAAACATTTTGTAAATGGAAGTATATCCCTATGATAACAATTGTGCAAATCAAGGCCAGATAAGGATGTAAAATAATAAACATTAATAAATTAATCTGTTTTTTGTCTATTATTATCATCCCATTCTTAGTTCCAAGTTTAAATAAATGCTTTGAAGAAAAGAGAAAATGCATAAAAATAAAATGAAAGCTATAACCAGAAACAAAATAAGAAAGCATATCTTACGTACATACGTTTTACTTTTACTCTGTGACAGCTTGATTAATTTGTAATTAATGAATGCATTTGTACAACAATGTTCTCTAAAGTTAGCAACAAGACATAATCAGAAGATACGTCAAGTTTGCAGCATTAAATTTAAACAGTGACAGAAATTACAAAACAAAATTTATTATGGCCAAGAAAAGATGTCATTCACTTTAAAATAATTTCACTCAATGCAAAAATGAAGATTCTTTGTACCTGATGATAATTTCCTCCCAGCAGAGTATTCAGCTGCTTCATACCAATTACAACAAGTAGACAAAATCCTATGCTGGGAAGGTACAACACTCTCTCCGCAACAACGAAACCAACACGAAAAAATAAGTTAGAAGCAGGCAGAAAAGGCACTAAAATAAAAGCTAATGCTAAATATAATAACCTATAAAATAAAAAAAATGCATTAATATAAATTTATCGCATGTTAATAGATATAATTATCAAATGTAACAACAACTTTATGAATAAAATGGTTAGAAACATGCATTTAAAAAAGTTCTAAAATGTGTTCCAACCTATTTGTATATTTCAAATTGGTTATGATGAACTTCCTAGTATCATAACAATGTAAATTTACACATCATATTTGCTGTCAAAGTATGAAACAAGGAAATAAAAACATGAAAATGAGGCAGAGAAAAGAACTCTATTTAAAAAATATAAAAATGCAAATTCTTAAACTATTACATATTAACAATGCATGGAGTTGTAAAATGAAAAACACAAGTCTATTGCATATTTTTTCCCTATTAAGAGCTCAAGTAAATCAATATAAAAAAAGGCAAAAATAATTTAAAGCAAGTAAATTCTTAATTCTTTCCATACCAGGCACATATCCGACAGGTTGGTTAGCCAAATTTAAAAATCGCCATGATGCAAGGCAATTAAAAATTTCAGGCGATACTGAACTATTTTTCAGATGAGTTCACTGAACTCATGAATAGTGAAAATTTATCTTCAGAACAACTTTAAAACTCTGATGAAGCTGGTCTTTTTTGGCAACCCTACAAAAAGCTCCAACTGGTGTCAAAAATTCCAAAGCGAGACTAACAATTTTAGCACGCACAAATGCTGCAGGAAAGCACAAGTGTAAACGTTTCATAATCGGAAAAAATACACGACCTCGGGTATTTAAAGAAGTAAAGATATTCCCTGTTCTATATTTGCAAATAAAACAACACGGATGACACAAGTGTTAATGAATGAATAGTTTAAAAATCATTTCATACATGAAACTCAGCAGAATTCAGTTGGTTTACCTGATGATGCAAAAATTGTCTTCATTGTAGACAACTGTTTAGCTCATACTTCACTTAAAGTTTTAGTGAAAGATTATGTATCCATATTATTTTTCCCTCCAAACTATGCATCCATCATTCGGCCTATGGATATCGAAATAGTGCAAGTGCTGAAATGTAAACATAAAGTAGAATTTTTAAAATCCATTCTAAACTTCTTCAATAATGGCAAGACTATTCAAGACATTTTGAAATATTTTAGCATAAAAATCTGCTGCATGGAGCATCACAAGACCGTGAGAGTGTGCACCTCCAGATACTTTAAAAAATGCTTGGCATAATTTATGGCCAGCTACTATATTTTATGAGAGGATGATGTATATGAATTTCAAGGTTTTTGGATATCGCAAACCAAAGGTTAACTCTTACAAATAATGGATTTTGCAACAAAATGTGGAAACGGCAATAAATGAAGATGATATAACAGAAGTTTTTCCATTGTGATGACAATGCTCCAATCATCAATCAATTAATAGTGGACTATCAATTAATAACGAAATCTGTAGTTTGGTTCTAGGTCCAGAAAATACAGTGTAGTACAGAAAGTGACAAAGAGGATACTGAAAACGAAAAATTTCGATTCACATGTTAGTCAGAATACTCAACACACGAGTTACAGGACTTTAATAATGGAACTTTGTAACTGAGCAAAAATTATATCCGTCTATTAATTAAGTCTATTTATTAATTCTGTGTAATAAAAATTTAGTGCAAAAAAGCAACTTACAAGACTGAAGGAAATATTTAATAAAGTAAACAAAAAATATTAAGCCTTTTTATTGCAAATTTTGATACCCTTTAGATAATAAATGCTTCACTACTTCATATTTTTAATTTTATAATTTCTACATGCCATGTTACTAGTTTTAAACTAATGATACAATATCCGGAATAATCCCAAATCCGAAGTCATTGAAGTTCCGACGAGTCTGGATCTCGGACTTTGTACTGTATACATTTCAGAAATGCATTTTGTTAATGACAATTTTGAAACAAGGAGCCATAACAAGAAATGATCAAGCAACACACGTTAAAAAAAATTAGCTTCATAAAAATGCACTGTTTAATATTCTAGTGCACTGGTGCAAAGTGAAATCACTAGTCTTCACCAAAATGCAGCCAACCTGATAGTAATGGAAAATACATAAATAGCTATTCTGAACAGTAATCATTGACAATCCATAGGTCTCTTCAGTAATTAAAGCAATAAAATAAAAAATTTTCTAACTAGGGGACAGAAAATACTAGTACAAAATTTGTACCACAGTTGAAAAGGAAATAATTTTCCTGTTTCAGTTTTTAACCCTTGCTCAGAAAATCAGCTTTTATCCCATTTTACATAATATGTGATATGTATATGTTACCATGTGTTTATACCACATCATTTGCCAAAATTCTGCATATGCTATATTTTTCTGGAACTCAGCTTTTAAATCTGTAAATCACTGCAAGCTTTCATGTTTCATCTGTCCTTAAATAGAATGCCATATATTTTTAAGTTTTGCATACCTGTGTATACAAGTAATGCACTGCCAATTTTTTACATAAATATGAACTGCATGCATTGCTTCCAGTCATTATACTTATCTATTAATTAGTATGGAAGGCAAGCAAATACAGAACAGCCTTTTTGAGGACACTTTCTATTATTCTGAGAAATAATATGCCATCCTCTATTAAAGTACGAGGGCCATCCAGGAAGTAGATTACGTTTCCGTCTGTGTCCGCTAGGGGCGGGGCTAGCGCGGCCATCTTGGGGTCAGAGCGTTGCGCAGCTCAGTCTGCATCTAGCCGTGCTAGTGAGAGGTTCGTGCTGTGCTCCGTTCAGATACTGTGACGGTTTGAAATGTCTGCGTTAATTGAAAATCCCGCGAGCTGCGAGGTGCGCTCAGTAATAAGGTTTCTGACTGCAAAAAACTGTAAACCGATAGAAATCTATCGGCAGCTTCGTGAAGTGTATGGGGACAACATTATCACTGAAGGTGGAGTGCGTCAGTGGGTCATAAGATTTCAAAATGGCCGAACCAATGTTCACGACGAAGATCGAAGTGGGAAGTGGGAGACCCAGCATAGTGACCGCCGAACTTCTCGAAAAAGTCGATGCTAAAGTCCGTGAAAATCGAAATTTCACAATAACGGAACTTTCTTTGAGTTTTCCACAAATTTCGCGAAGTTTGTTGCACGAAATCATCAGCGAAAAGCTTGGTTACCACAAGTTTTGTGCAAGATGGAAGGCAAGAAGAGGTAACGAAGTGGTTGAAGGCGCAGGCGGCCGAATTTTTCGACGAAGGAATTTCCAAGCTCGTACATCGCTACGATAAATGCCTTAATTTGTATGGTGACTATGTAGAAAAGTAGTATTTGAGTGTGGCTTTCATCTGTATATAATAAAATTTGTTTCCTATACTTTGTTTATTTTTTTATTCCAAAACGTAATCTACTTTCTGGATAGCCCTCGTATTAGAATACACTCTATGAAACTCTACAGGTATACAGCTGATTACTCAGAGTCTTGGTTATGTATGTGAGAAGTAAGCAGAAGTGGAATCCAATGACACATCAGAACGTTGTTGCAATGAGTATGTTACCCTGCCAGGGTTCGCACACAGAAATTAAGTACTTTTAAGGACCATTAATGAACAACAAAATTAAGGGTCTATGAGCAAATGGGAACTGAATAAATTCAATTGAAAATATTATCTATGCCTGCATTTCACTTTTGTAATACAATCCTAAAAATAAAATAGATCCCTAAGTAGTATGCATTATTACTAGACATGAATTCATTAACATAATTGTTAATAAGTTTGAGAATAAAATGAACTTTATGCAATTTATCAAGTAGCATTAAATATTTTACACTTATAATAGTTGATCATATTTGAAAGAAGATACGTGACATTTATGCTTTACTAACAGTTAGCTTTATGTTGATTTTTTTATGTCTCATTTTGTCACATACTTGGCCAGTCTAGAGGTTTAGTAAATAAGCAGATAGATTTTATGTCAAACGGCATAGGTTAAAATGAGAAATAAGATCATAATCAGCATGATTCACAACCAAAAGACTGAATGTTGTCACTGCTGCTGCTTGTCTAGAGAGAGACCTGCTGATTAGAACAAATCTAAAAGGCCTGATATAGGCACGGTTGGCAAGAGTTGAATGTTAGGCACTGTTTGATGCAGTTAATGTCGTACTTCCAGGGGTTGTAACCCAGTTAATATACTTTAAGGTTTCAATCGGCAATTAAAAGGCTATTTAAGGCAAATAAAGTTCAGATTTAACAACAGAGAAATAAAAAAGATATGATAATAACAGACGGCAGACACAATGCATTGTAGGTCAAAACGTTGTGAAGATCGAAAATCCATTATCATTGTCTCCTAAAAATACAGTAGCAATATTCGTTAATGAGGGTTTTCTTGGCTTTTTATAAGTGCAACGTGAATACTAGCCATATCCTCTTAGAAAGCTTCCTTCCTCTTGGGCAGATAAACAATCGTGCGCTTCGTCATAGTTCAAGTACATAAAATACATCTGTATTTAATACAATTATAATTCTATCTCTTTAAAGAAATCTTAAGGTAAAAACATGTAAATATCAAGTATGACTGAGAATATTTTTAAGCTATTAATATTTTAAGCAGCAAAGCTTTTAATGCACACATAAACACCTGAAAATTAGACAAAAAAAAAAAAAAAAAAAAAAAAAAACCTGAAATTGATACAAAACTCTACTGATTACCAGAGCAATCTAACACAAATTTCTTTCCATCAGGAACTAAAAAATTCTACTCAGATAGGAAGAGTTGTATTTTTATAGCATTTATTAGTTAGATTTATGAGTACCTACTCAGTGTTTGGTTTTCACAACCTTCCATTCATCAGAATGTGATTAGATCATTAAGTGTGGGAGTGGCGAAATAATATTTTAAAGAAGACATTTTTTACAAAATGACAGTAAATCTTATAAGTAGTTATATACAAATCAAGTAATTAAAAATATGCAAAAATTCTTCTGATGAAGTGTTTCAAGGAGAATAATATTTCTGCACACAAGTAGCACATATTTAGTTCACTCAT